TAATGCATTCTAGCACTGCAGGTGAACTTGCTCTTAATGGGATTAGCTTACCTAAAAGTCAGGACACATCTGCGATTGTAGAGTTTGGCGGGGTTGTCACAGTTAAGAGGATGTTGATGTTTAAAAAAATGCAGATGAAGATGCTACCTGGTGGAAGAGATATTAGGAGCAGCTTAACATGGGCTAAGGAGGGAGTGAGTAGGAATGGAAGTACGTATACGTGGTGTCTTCAAGACTGAGGAGAGTGTCAGGATCTAATCTCAGTAAAGGGAAGCATGTTATTCCCGTGCTGATATAAAAAACCTGTCTGCAGTGTTTGCATTTTTTGTGTGTGGTTTGTTTTTTTTTCTTTTTTCTTAAGGACTGCTTGTCTTCCTCCCTGTATCTTTACTAACAGTGCATGTGACAGCAGCAGTGTTCCGTCATGTGTCTGTTACCATTCCTTCATTAATACTTAGCAAACAAACAAACAAACCTTCTATTTTCTGAATGCATGCATGCCTTTGCAAAATAGAGCAGAATGAAAGAGCAGCTTCCTAAATGTGTAAGGTCACAGCGAGAGGGTAGAGGGGCACAGGGGAAGGCTGGGGGAGAGTCTTCTTACAGTGCTATGCTTCTGTTTGTTTGTTTTAGGACTTGGAGATTGAAATGTGTTTGTGTGGGCAAAGCCTGTTTGAAAGCTTGTATAGTTTCTGCCCAAAAGCGAGCTTTAATATTAAAGTAAAAACTTTTAAAGGCACTTAGGAATGTGAAACTGTCTGTGCATGCATATGCCTCTGTAAATATAGGAGCATGGCATTTTTGTCGTAGCTGGTTGATGCAATTCTTATATTTGATTTTGTGTGTTCTAACAGATGAATCCCACAAAACTATTCAGAGAATACTTTGGAATATTTACCTTGATCCTACAGTTTGAACTGCAATAAACTAATTTGTGACAGTACTGGCAGAACGCAGTCGTGTCAGGGGTGTGAAAGTGACCAGACTTAACTTCAACGTTCAAATGAATGTTTGCAAATGTTTCTTGCCATAGTCACCCAACTCTTCCAGATGTTGTAGCTGGCTTTTAGAAATGCCTGTGAGCAAGCTGAGTTAGCAATATTAATCAAACCTCGTTTACTTTCAGGGCATTCAGTGATTATTGCAGGAGTTTTCTCTGCTGTGAGCAGTTTTGCACAGTGGGCTGGGATACACGGCTGTGGTGGGTTTTTTTTTCCTCATTTTTATCTTCCTGTGAAATACAGAGCATGGGTTGTTGCTATGCACAGGGTAATGGGGAGGATGGAACATTATAATCAAGATAAAAGGAAGCAATTGTTTCCAGTGCTAGAAATTTTAGCTCGATACTTGCAGTGACTGGATGTAGAACTGCTGTAGCTTTTTTCCATTGCTCTGGGTGACAGTGAGTGCCATCCCAGGATGGTGAATGGGTGCAGCTGGGTGGGTTTTGCTCCTCTCCAGACTGAAGGAATTACCAACCAAAAGAACATGCAGGGAAATGCTCTAGAAGAGTATTGCTGTGGACATAGGAGTTGAAATAAATGTGAAATGGAACAAGGAGGTAGTTTATGGAGGCGGATTTAACAGACATCATTGCATAAAGGAATCATGGAGGTTGCTGCTACCAGGACTTGCGCTTATCAGAGCTTTTTCTAGGAGGATACAGTGATGATTGAGCTGTTTCCAGATGCCTTTCAGTCTTTGGATGCTTCGTTGCTTTTGTACTTATCCCTTCCATGTGAATATGGTGTGCACTGTTTTAACTTTTATATCTACTTCAACATTTGCCAGCAAAATGAGCCATTTTCAAGTGTCACACACTGTACTGTGATCATAGAATCTCAAAGTGGCTTAAGGAAGGGACCTTAGAGATCATCCAGTTCCAACCCCTGCCATGGGCTGGCTGCCCTCATCAGCTCAGGCTGCTCAGGGTCCGATCCAACCTGGCCCTGAGCGCTTCTGGGCGGTTGTACCAGCACTTGTCCTGCCTTTGGCCATGTCATATCCTTCAGCTTGGATAAGTAGTCTCCATCCAGACCATCTTTAGGGCTTTAGCGCTCAGGGTGGCTCTCACTAGAAGAGTATTGCTTTTAATAATAACACTTCCAGCTTTCTAGTGGTATTTGCTAATAGAGGTAGTTGTGCAAATTGTTTAAACGTCATTTGTTTAAAAATTCCTTGCTTTCAATTAGGTGTACTTCATGACTGACAGTGATTTATCTGAAACTTGGCAACTGTGATGCAGTGAAGTGATGACACCATCTTGCTTTATCCGACTAATTTTAACCTGCTGGGTCCCATTGGTCTCAGCTAACAGCAGCCCTCAGGAGTGTGTGCACTGCATAAAGCAGGTGCTGGGACATTGCTGGCTTGGATGAGGCAGAGAAGCAGTAAGGGAAGTTAGTGAAACAGATCTGGTGGGAGAACATACTGTTTTGAATGAGCATCAGGCAGTTCTTGTGTTTAAGAACATGATTCTCATCAAGTGGATCAGAGCAACTTTTATTTCTTAATGCAGAGGGTTTCTTCAGAAAAGCATCATAGCTTTGCTAACACAAAAATGTTGGAAGAAAATAATCTGGTGGGAAAGTTTTATACCGTGTTGTCTATGAGCCTTCCTGCAAGCCCTCATTGTCTTCCTTTTTATTTTGAATTTGTGTGCATCATTTTCTGCACCAAGACAACGTGAGCCCTTGCACAGTGATGCTGAGCTATGTGCCCAGTGTGGACCACGGCAATATAATTGACTGATTTACAAGTAAACAAGCATATCTTTTACTGCCTTGTTTGGTTGTTGGTCGAGGAGCTGGTGCTCTCTGGGTGCTGTTGGTGTCCGGGTGAGGCACGGTGCCTGCTTTAGGGATGTGCTTTCTCTGCCATTGCAGTCAGTGTACCTGTGCTCCCAGCTGAAGGGCTGGTCTCTTGCATCCTACAATAAATGCTCATTGCTAAACCACCGCAGATATCCTTGGGCCTCCTGTGACAGCAGTTTGCAAGCAGCGCTCTTTCCTCTTTTTCTGCAGCAGAGGAAGAAAGCTGCTGTCACGAAGACTAATCTCAAGGCGCTGGCTTTTCCTGTACTGAGACCAGCATGTCCTGTATGTTCAGAGAGACCTAAGAATGAAAAAAAAAATACTGAGTACTGTGCATTGCAAGGGATCTGAACAACTACAAATGAGAAGAACGTTTCCCTTTCTCGATTCCCCGCAGTATTTATTTAGGGGTTTGTTTTCTTTTGTTTCTCTTTGCTCTGCATTTTCCCTGAAGTGGCATCACAATCACAGCCAGGGATTCACTCATCTCTGTTAACAACGTACCGGGGAGTCCTTGCCCTGCACAGGGCTGCTTGTGCCCGCAGGATGTGAGCACACCAGCTCTGCAGCCGTGTGTCAGCGGTGTGTGAAGGGCCACGGCTGGAGCACAGCCCCGGGGAGGTGGGGATGTTGTTTTTCTGCAGAGAGGCAGCAGCAGGCGGTGCAGGGAGCAGGGGGAGGCCTGGGGTGTGAGGAGAATGTGGGGAGCAGGAAAGAAGAGCAGAAGTCAGTGTGTGAGCAAAGGATGCGCTGAGGCAGCCTTTGGAAGTGTGTGTTTGGTTATTGCATGGGGAGCTGCTCGTGCTCCAGCTGTGCTGGTTGGTACAGTGCATTTATCAAAACTGACGAGGAAGTCCAAAGCCAACTCCAGGACATAGAGCTTAGAAAACACCTTTGAGCTGCTGGTTTTTGTTACAGCAGTAATTGAGAATGTTGTACAGAAATGTGAACCCTGAATGCTGCTGTGCTGAGCTGAGGTGTGTAACACAGCTTTACAGTTCGTTTCTCTGCATGGTGCTATGATACCATTTTGAATAAGAACATTTCTGACATCCTATAATTGAGTACTTAAAGCAATTTCCAGTTGAAATCAGGGACTTCCAGACTAGTTCAGGAGTATCTTCTGAGATGCTCTTACATGGAGCACCAGAGCTGTGGGGTTCCTGTCCAGTATCTGGTGCAGCAGTAGGTGAAGTGGAACAGCTGTGGTCACCCCGTATGTGCACTAAAGCCACATTGCTTGAGTTTGGGGAGCTCTGCAAAGGTGACGTGAAGAAAAGTCTTCAAGGTAATGAGGTTAAACATTTGTTGGCATTTGTGCTGTGTTCCAGCATCGTCTTCATCCCGGCCAGATTCTCTGGGTCTATCGAAGCAGAACTGTGGGGCCTGTTTGTGCCGCTCGTAACTCTTCATCCCCTGGGTGAACATGAATGCAGTGGTGAAATAGAGAAAATGCAGACTGCCTGTCAGGATGCTGTCTCTGGCCCTGACTCGGGCTGTTGCTCCGTTTACTGGCAGTGTTTGGTCCCACAGAAGCCCTCCTGGCAGAGGCTGCTGGTGTGGCTCGGATACCACAGCAAGTGAGGTGCTCCTGGGACCGTTATCTTCAAGAGCATTTTCTTTTGCCATGATGCTGGCTTGGCCTGGAAGAAGGGAACAGGCCACCAGCAGTCATGGTGTGTCCCGCCTGGAGGGCTGTGGAATGGACCCCATGGAAGGATGGACAGGAAAATGTGCAGATTTTACAAGGCGAGGGCTGAAATTTGGGGTTTTTTGTTTTGTGTGTAACGATGTGACTAAGAGCAGTGGAGGAGAGATCAAGAATAGATGGATTTCAGAGAGGAAGAGTGTGCCGTCGTGGTATTCCACTAAAAGAGCTGAATAAGGGTTGCATAGGAGATGGTGAATGAACAACTCGGGTGCTGGGAGCTGGTGGGTGACACTGAGGCGTGCAATAGAACCTGCATAGCTAGCTGTGCAAATCCAGGACATTTGGACACGCTGAAAGCTTGCTTTAAACGGTGCATGCAGAGGAGAGAGCAAGGAATTCCACGGGGACGCGGTGCGGGGAGGGGGCAGTGAGCGGGGCCATCCCGCTTGCTTTGGGACGCTGTCACGGTGTGCTGTGGGCGCTGGCGTGTTGCACTGCACGGTTCTCATAACGCTCTCTCTGTGAACCCTTTCTAGCCCACGACCTTCCCCCGAGCAAGACGTCGGCCGCGGCGCAGACTGGCAGCCACTTGCAGTGCCTCTCGGTGCACTGCACGGACGACGTGGGCGAGGCGAAGGGCCGGACTGCGGTGCCGACATGGAGGTCCCTGCACTCGGACATCTCCAACAGATTTGGGACTTTTGTGGCCGCCCTGACTTGAACAAAAGAAATTATTTTTTTTCTCTTTTTAATTTCAAAGGGCCGCTACTGCTAGGTGGACTATTTTTCTAGGTTGGTACCTGCTTAGTGGCATATGGACTGGAAAGGGTTAATTTAAAGTAAACCTCAACTTTTTTTTAATCTTCTGCCACAGTATGTTACCAGTGTTAACCCTTCTGCAGTTAGCACACTTTTGCTTAAGATTTTCCTGCTAGACCACGTTTTCCCATTATTCTGTAATCTTGGCATACATTTATAGATGAAGCCTTTTCCTTTTTCATCTCAGCGTATGTCCAAGTCACGTATGTCATAATAAGACAAAGATGCTACTTCTCCTCCTCCTCCTTTTCTTCATTGCTTTTTTTTTTTTTCTTTTGTTTTGCTTTGCTCGATGCTTATTACGATGGTTAATCCTGAAGAACAGCAGTTCAGGAATAAATGCCGGTTAAATGAAATTGTCATCATTATGTTATGTATTGACACCCAGCTTTTGCCAGTCACATCCAAACCAAACGATTAATGCTCTTTTGAACATTCAGGCAGCGATCCTTTTCCTCAGAAAATGAAGGTTTGTTATGAATAATGCTCAGCCTGCGCCTCCCTCCCTCATTTGCTCCCCATCTCTCTGTGAGGTGAGGACAGGGGTTTGTTTGTTTGCCTTTGTGAAACACAGATACGGAGCTCTGTCATGACTGGGCTGGTTCAGGCATGGCCTGGGAAGGTACACAGATGATTCCCTAAATAGCTCTAACAGGAAGTTTACCTAATAACGAATAATTGTTATCTCCTCCACCAAACACCCAGGTTGCAGCAGCATTTTCTTCCTCTGCCTCTCACTTTGAGGAGCAAGGGGTGCACATGTTCCCAGGCATGTTGTGTTCCTGGTGGTGTTCCCAGAGCTGTCATTTTATTTTATAACTGCTGGAGAAAAAAACAATCCCCAAAGGCACTGAGTCCCTTCTGCATTGCTCGTAGCCTGCAGAGCAGTGTCCTGGCCCAACGACTGTGCTCTGCTATGGGGCTGGTTTACTGCAGTGCCCTCTGCTAGGTTGGGTCTGGGCCCAGCATCCAGCTGGAGTTTCCAAAGCCACTGTGAAGCCGCACGGCAGCACAGCTCCCATTTTTCCCCATTGTAGCTGAAGGAAGATGCTGTTGATCAGAGGTGTGATGCTCTTGTCTGTAGGAACCACCCCAGCTCCAGTGGCAGCAATCCCAGTGTGGTCACAGTAAGTGGATGATTGGAGACAGCCTGCACCAAGGGCCATGTGCCCAAGGTCAGCACTTCCTGATCGGCCAGGACCGGGACACCCCAGGTTAGACCCTTCCAAACTTAGGCTGGGCTCCGTTTTTGCCATGCATGTGAAGAACGCTGTTATTAGATGAACACAATAAAAGGAAAACCACGCTTTCCTGGTCTCGGTAGATAATGCTCATTGGAGAAGAAAGCTGGAAGCAAACCAGATAAAAACACAAATGACACGATGATCTGACACTCCTGTGGCTTTACGTAATGCTGTCTATTATTTGCATATCCTCTGTTTACAGGGTGTGTGAGCAGTCCCACCCTTGCTCAGGCCAGCCTGGCTTCCTCTGCTCCCCAAAGCTCGGTAGCATCACTGGGGAGTTACTTTTTTGCTATGAAATAAGAGTCAGCCTCTCATGAATTCACAAAACGTGTCCCTTCTCGAGGGATGGAATTTGAAGACTGCTTTGTATTTTTAGATGATTGTGCCGGGCCTTTAATTATTTTGAAGTCTGGCTCTCAGTAGACATCAGTGGGGAGGGAATTCTGCCTACAATGCTAATGGCCACGGCACTGTCTGAAATTCTCACTCTTGATCATTTATGGCTTCAGAATGATTCACAGTGTTTTGGAAGGCAGGATTTCTTGTTATTTGAATGTGCTCTTATTAACCATGCATGGATTGATTTCCCATTATGGTTGTGGTCAGTGACTTGACTTTGGGAAAAATGGAGGGTTTGGGGCCTTGATTTTTAATATTACTTTACTTTTCATTGAAGCTGGAGCTGTCACTAGGGTGGGGATTTTTGCCTATGCTGAAGCAATTCACTGGAACCACCTCACACACTTGGTTTGGAAACAAAACATGCCACGTTTTGTACCTTTTTAGGTGTGTGCCACTGAAAGTTTGGAGCTTTTCCCTGGACCTGCAATAAAATGTCTCCAGGTTGAGTAACAATTATCGTTGGCCACTCTGGAAGAAGTTTCTTTGCCTGTGATTTGTTAAGTCCCAGTTCACTAAAATACGTGTTCAACTTTAAATGCAGTCTAGCAAATCACTTAAGGATATGCTGAACTGAGTGGGACTTCTGTATCCAGTGAAGCGTGGAAGAGTGTTTCGGTGGATTAAGGCCTCAGTTCTCATCCTTTCATTTCAGCTTATACTTGTTCAAGCTAGGTGTGTCTTGGAGTAAACCCAGCAAAGCACATGCCTGGACATATGATACTGTCTTTCAGCACTTACAGCTAAAAATTTAGGAAGAGTTCATGGTCTGATGGCATTCCTGTACCATCGCTCAGGCCTGATGGCTTGCTTCTTTGTTTTTAGTTTTTCCTGCTTCATTCAGGAGAACAGGTTTTTCAGGCTTCCTCAGGTCAGGGATGCACACCCTGTGCTACCAGGAAGAGACCTTTCGATGAATGCTGGATCAAATGCTTCAAATCTCTTTTAAAGAGAAATCCTCCTGTAAGTAGAAATGCATTGATTCCATTGGTCTTCAGCATCCTTCCTTTCTGGTTTGCTCTCTGCAGCTCTGCTTCTATCCTGGAGTTGTTCTCATTCCTTGAGGACTTATTTTTCCACTTGGTTATAGGAGTACAAATTGGAAACAGGACCATAAAAACAGCAGAATTCTGAGGGTTTTAAATCATAAGAGATGAGGAGAGGATGGGGTCTCTGCACTGGGGCCGTTCTGTCAGCTGTGCAGTGGGAGCAGTGGGCAGATAGGATTTGCAGGTAGTGAGGCTCTAGAAAGAGTGGTCAGCCTTCCTGTGGGCCTTACTGTCCGTATTGCTTTGCTAAAGAATACGGTTAAGTGCAGTCCTACTGCTGACCTTCTGTACATTCAATCTCGCCAAACTCGAGTGACATTGCCGACTGAGCAGAAGGACGAGGTGGCAGCTCTGTACTGGGGCAGATGTCAGCAATGCCAGTGCTGGTGTGCATTTCCATGGTTTTCTTTTTGCCAAAGATCAGAACAGAATCAGTACATAGGCTGGCCAGGACAAGGATAATTTCATGCCCATAGCCTGGTGTGTTTGGTACAGACAGCACGTGCCGGAGCTTTGACACAAAGCTTGCTTTGCCTGTGGTAATTTCACTGTTCTCATTTTCTCCATTAATTTAACACTGAATGCACTCTTTTTTTTTTTTACATACAGAAAATATCACCATAGCTAAAATAATGGCCTCTTATTTAAGAGGGCTGCTCTGAAAGTAATGCCTCCAGTTTTATGATGTTGGCCTGTGCCATCAGAGGTGGAAGTTGGTACGGCAGCAGAGGTTGGACCTTCCACAAATATCCCGTTAATTCTGCTGCTGTGTGACAGATGGCAGCAGAGGGGCAGGCTGACAAATGACGTCTGACATGGAAGTGCATATGAAGCAAAGCTGTGGAATGGAATTCCTCCATGTGGAAAAAATGGCCCCCACTGACACTCATTGACGCTTGCTGAACGTTTATGGAGACCCAGCAGTGGATATGAGCACAGAGGGTGGTGAGATTCAGCACAGCAGCAATGGGTCACTCCTGCTGGCAATGAGATGTTGATGAGCGTGGCATGCAGATTCTTGTTCGTCACTGGCAAACATGCACTGCTAATGGTGGTGCCCATGTCGAAAAAATAGTATCTTGAAGTTGAGAATTTGCTCCATCAGATAATAAGTAGGGAATAAGTAGGAGGCATTACTTTCAGAGCAGCCTTTGTATTCTGAAAAACCTTTTCTGCCTTGCCCAGCATCTTCATTTCTCACACAGCCCCATGCTGTAGGAGCTGCTTGAGTTGGGAGGTTGGCAGCTGCCCATCATCTGGTTCTTGGCCTTGGAGGCTCCGTTTCCTCCTGGCCCCGTCTGCTGGTCCTTCTTGGTGTATGTTAAAAGAAAATCTGTACTTTAACTTAAAGTGTGGTAGCAAACTGAGAAATAGATGTTTTGCATTTTAACTGGGAGGAGTGATGTCTTTTGGACAAGAAAAAAAGGATGGAATAGGCCCTATTTATGAAATACTCCCGAGAATTTTCTCTGGGGTTTTTTTTCATGGGGTTCATAAATTCTCTGCTGTTCTGGTTCAGCTGTTAAAGCCTCAGTGAGAGAGGGCCTCGGCTCATTTGTATTTAGTTACAGGGAACTTCATCAAAAAGCTAAGGTGTGTTTGGGTGGGAAGAAATGAGCATTGAAGCCACCAGGTCTGTTTTGAGGACCCTTTCTTGGATACTGCTTTCAGGTGTCGTCAACCTGAGGCTGGTTGGCCCTTCCAGTGCAGGAGATCAGTCCCACAGCTTCCAGGCACCGCCAGCAAGGCCAAATGTTGGCATGTCCCTTAAAGAAGGACATGCCACCCTACAGGTCACATAGAACGGAGCTCCTACAAGTCATGGGAGGCTGAAACGTGGTGCGTTGGCTCTGCTGTTGGGAAGGAGAAAGGAGGTGGGAAGCAGGTGGGGAAAGCAGACAAAAAGCCCCAGAATGGCTACATCTGGAGTATTGTTTTGGAGCTGCAGTGTGAGGTTGTCTCAAATGCTGGATTCACAGCTGTTCGATGGATGGTGTATAAGAGCATAACCCATTTTTATAGAATTGTTTCTCCTTTATTGCTTAAGGCTAATGGAGGAAATAGTCTAATTTTGTCTTAGAAATTCTCTATTAAAATTGTTGGTTTGAGTCCATCCCACTCATAGATTCTGACTGATGAAACTGCAGGCTGTGATTTCCGGCAGTTATAACTTTATCACTATTCACTACCCAAGAATATTACAGCTTTAAAACAGCCTTAAGCAAAAGGATGTGATTTCTTTAAACCGAATTTGGTTCATGGAAAAGAAAAAAATAGATAAATAAAAATCAAAACACTGGTAATCCGTACTGCATAGCAAACTCTTCTGAAAGATGTTATTGCACATGTAAAATATGGAAACTTGACTCTGCTGTGTGTTAGGCAATCCTGTACTCTTTTTTTTCTTCTTCTTTTTTTTTGTTTTTGTTTTTTTTTTGTTTTGGGATTCTTGTTAAATTCATTTCTTAAATGCTTGGTTGGAAGACTGTGACAATAGCTCATGAAACTGAGTGTTATTTTTTCCTTTTTTTTTTTAAATATGTAAAGTGCAGTCTTCTGTATTCATGCATATTGTACATATCTGTATATGTTTTACTGAGCAACTAAATAACAATAAATATGATGTTAATGGTGGCTATTGTATATGTCATGCCATGTTCTTTGATTTTTGCAGTAATTCCTGTTTTCCCCTAGAATGTGAAGAATGGAAATGATGCTGTTCACATGTAGGTAAACCCTGGGCCTCGTGATGGTCAGAACAAATCTCAGCAGAATGTGGGAAGTCCTCTCCAATAGTTGGCTTCCCTCAGTGGTACGGCTTCACCCAGAGCCAGGTTACTGCAATAAGGTGTAGTTTTCTTACAGTCATGGAATGGTTTGGGTTGGAAGGGAACATTAAGATCATCCAGTTCCAACCCTGTGCTGTAGGCAGGGACATCTCCCACTCGACCAGGTTGCTCACAGCCTGGCCTTGTACCTCCAGGGAGGGAGCATCCCTTCTCCTAGGGTTTGCTAGGCTTTGCTGACTGTTTCTGCGTGTATTGAAGCTTCTTCCTTCCCTGCGTCAGCCGGGATCCGAATCCTTCACAAAACTTCTTCAGGCAAGATTTTGAGCTAAATTCTGTGAGTAAAAAGTAAACAGGCTACAGCTGAGTCTAAAAATCCCTCCATCTCTGTTATTCAAATTTCATACTCTTAATCCTTTCACATTCCTGTGAATTTGTCAAAGAATCCTTTCCGTCAGGAAAAATGTCTTACGAGAAAGCAGTAACCTGGGCAGCCAGGCAATGTCAGAATGCATTTCTGAACCGAGGGAACAGCCTTACTTGTCTTTCACACTCAGAGGAAGCAGAAGAGCTGTTCAGCTTCATGTGGTTGTTTTTTCCATTCTAACTTCTCATTCTCTGTGAGCTGAGATGCAGAAAGCTGTGCGGTGCTGCATTTTGGTGTGTGATGGAACGATGAGCCGCCCCATCTCCTGCAGCCCATGTGCAGATCCCGTGCCTTCGCAGCAGCGCTTTACGCTGGTGAGGATCTGCTAACTCACATGTAATGCATCAAAATGCAAACAGTGCACCAGCTGTATTCCATACGATCCCTCTGTGTTCTTTTGCAATGCTGAGAGCACAAATGGAAAAACAGAAGAAACTTTTGAGACCCTTTTCAAGACAGTTAGGGGAGGAACTTCACTTAACGTTCAAACCGTGCTCTTCATCTTCTTGAAGGGGCAGAGCAACACGTGAAAGAGGTGTAAGCTGTTTCACAGCTTTTTGCTTCTTGCCATGCAAGAAGTGTACATGATTTTGCTAACTTTTCAGCTCAAAACCAACACCTGTAAGTTTTTATTGGATTTTTTTTTGCGGGGGATGGGGGAGGGAGAAGGTGTACTTATTAGTGGTTGTAAGTTTGGGCTTCCCTTAATCCTGAGAGAGAAACCAGAGAGGGGAGCCAGCCTTCCTGGTGTCCTTTGGTGTGATTAGAGTCCCTGTGGGACCAGGTGCGTGGCTTTGGTCACAGGGAGCATCCACTCCTCACCCCTGGCTTCTTCCCAGTCCTCCCCTTCTGGAATAGAAGTAACCATCTGGTTACTTCACGCTGCTCAGATGGCTGCACTTACCTCTTGAGTTCTGTTACTGCTGGGTTCACATGGCCCCTTGGCCACACAGTGGCTGTTCTGGTGCTGGGGTCTGGAGGAGCTCGCTGCCCATTGTGTGCTAATGGATGGGCACAAAGTGGCTGCTCCCCAGTTCCTGCACTCTCTTCTGGCCATGCACACTGGCAGCTTGTGCTGTGACCTCTGTGGATGCTGTTGAGGTGCTTGCCTTGGTGCTGAGGTGAAGTCCACCTCTGTGCCAGCATTAGGCAGGGACTTCTGCTTATTCAGTACAGAGAGGCAAGTGGTTGGAGGGTGTTCACAGCCCGTGCTCTCCAAGTTGTTCCTTGTGCTGAGAGCTGAAGTCTGGCTGCAGTGTGTCTCCTTTTCCCAAGACATTTAACTGATTTAATTATGTCCTTCGAGTTATTTTCTGCATGAGGCTTTGGGATTCTTGTCACGGAGGAGACCCCATAAATATGCATTGTATGTTCTGCAGTCAGGATCTGTCCAGAGCGCAGCCGGATCCAGTGTGCCGTGATCCCCCACCCCCCTGTCACCTGCAGGTAGGGGCTGGGAAGGGGCTGCTGTGGCCATGAGGAACTGAAAGGCGTCAGCTGAAGGAGCTCTCATGTGTAAATGTTGGTGGCTTTGAGCACACACGTCTGACCTGGAGTGGATGTAATATGGTGATGTGCACTTCGGTCCTATTTGGATTGTGCCACGTTCCCTAATTCTCAAAGCTCTGACCAACACTGAAAACCAAGAAAGTGCTGGGGGTGCCTCAGCATTTCAGTTTAGCACCAAAACCCACACTGCTAGTCACCAACCCCAGCCTCTCTCTCTGCTGGGAGTGGGACCGCAGGCATCACTGGGCTGCGTTGTGTGCAGCTGTGGCTCATGGATGTCACCACCTGTGAAACCAGCCCAGAGAAACACGTGCTCTGGCCAGCAGCGTTCTATCAGCAGCAAATGTTACCGGTTCACAAACATACAACCCTGGAGGTGCCCGAGGCCACGGATGGGTCCTGGGCACCCTGAGCAGGTGGGGGGCATCCAGCCAATGGCAGGGGTTGGAGCTGGGTGGGCTCCAACCTCAGCCCCTCTGTGATTCTACAAAGTTGTTGAATTGGCAGTCTGTATTTAATGTTGATATAGGCTGGATTTCGGATGGCAGTATTAACACATTAATTTCAGCCTCCCTGAAGGATACTGAAAATGGTTTTCGAGGGCCCCTGTCCTGCTGGAGCCCTGGAGGGTTTGTAGCCCATTGGAGTTAACTGGCAGCAGTGCTGAGCTTCGGAGGTGGGAACTTCTCTCGATTTCTTTTTATTCTCTGTGAAATGCCCCTCTCTCCCTTCCCCCTTTCTTCCCCTCACCCCTTTTCTCTTTATAAAGCTGGAATTCTTCCAGACTCTGCTCTGGGCTCGCAAGAAAACTTTACTGTGTAAATTTGCTCTTTGTGTTGGGAGCCCTTTGTTTAAACAGCATTGTGAGCTTGCTGG